TATATATATATATATATAGATATATATATATATATAGATATATATATATATATAGATATATATATATATATATAGAGTGCCACATTTTGTGGTACGAAACTATTTAGTAATAAAGATGCCTAGTGGATTTTGTTGATTGTTGTACCTTAATTTAAATATGCTCTGGTTTTCCATTGAGCACTTTACCAAACGTTTTTATAACCAACGAAACCAAATCTTATATATAGATATATATACAGGGTGTATCAAAATAAACGCAATTCATCTTTTGTGCTTAATAACTTTCGAAATACTATTTCTAGTTAAACGCTTTTAGGCTTACTTCAAAGCCTGTTCTTTTCTCTTTCAAACAAACTATTATCCTTGTCTCCAATGCTAGTAATAATTGCACAGGAAAAGATTTAGTAAACCTATCATTTTTAGTTGCTGTTTAATTATGCAAGTTTACTATGTTATTGTTTAGTCGGTTTAAATGTTAGAATTTTCTTCTTTAAACTTTAATGTTGTCGTCACTACATCTGGAAAACCACGTAAGAACAAATTAAAAGTATTTTAAAAGAGACCAGGTTGTTTGAAAATCCTAAACGAATGCTAAAAATCGTCAAAACATTCTGGTGTCTGAGCCAGAGTGTCATCGAATTGCGATGTAATGTAAACAGAAATTATAGCAAGTTGATGTCAGTCAGCTTAGATGGTCCAAGCCAAAATTATATCGCATTTGAAGTTTCAAACTGAGTTAAAAATAGTGGAAGAAAAGCCGTAATTATACTTATTGTTACAATCCATTTAATAAAATGCAACATTTTTTTGTTTTAATGAAAAAATCAGTTATTTTCATGAGAACGATTTGTTATTCCATCTCAATTTTTTTAATCTCCAATCGCAATAACGTAAAGTATTATTACCCGCGAACCAATGAGTCAAATTTAAGAAACAACCCACTGTTAGAAAGCTGAATGGCTACGCTTTAAAATGAATGTAAACTTTAAAGTTTTCGTCTATTATTTGTTTAGCAATTTACATTTTAGTCGAGGATTGCGCTTTTTTTGATACACCCTGTATATATAGATATGTATATATAGATATAGATATATAGATCTATCTATCTATCTATCTATCTATCTATCTATCTATCTATCTATCTATCTATCTATCTATCTATATCTATCTATCTATATCTATCTATCTATCTATCTATATCTATCTATCTATCTCTATCTATCTCTATCTATCTATCTATATCTATCTATCTATATCTATCGATCTATATCTATATATA